GAACAAGGGTCATCTTTCCATTTTCTGATAGCCTCTTCAACTTTTTCAGAGTACTATAGCTTTCCATGTAAAGGTCTTTTATTTCCTTCATTAGGTTGATTCCTAGGTATTTCATTGTTCATTTGTGTAAGTGTTTCATGTTTGACTTAGCAGAAGACAGCGGGTTTCTCATTTTGCTCCTTGATTCAGTCTGTTGTGATCTCACACAATATAGTCTGATATGCTCATGAGAGGATGAGTAATAATGGCAGACAATGTTTTAACCTCATGGACTCCTCAAGGTCACTCTTTGAGAACCACTATTCTGGAATAGTCTCTACTTGCTGTAAAACACTTGTTCCGGAGAGATTGTGAGTGATTTGCCTGAAGTCCCACAGCAAGTAAGTACATTGCAGTGTTAGGCTTCACCCAACGCTGAGATTGTGCCTTCTGGCCTGAGGCTTCTCCCATCCCCTTGGCTGATCTAGGATGGGCTGGCCTTTCGGGAGTGAGGCCTAGGCTGCTGGCTGCAGAGCCCCTGGTGTGTGGTCCTATAAACAAACCCATTGTGTCTGAACCCCTGCCCCTTACCCCCAGCAGCTGCTATTTTTGTTGGTTGCACTGTAGACAGGGAAGAGGAGGCCTGGAGGGAGCAGGGATGAGGAATGTTGAAATCTGGGAGCTTGCAGGCTGAACACAGGACTGGCCTTCCTCCTGCCCCACCTGGAAGGGCCTGATGCTGGTGCAGAGGTTCTGGGAGTGCCTGGGAAGGGCTTGTTTGAGGAGATACAGTGGCTCCTTCTCCCAGGACGGATGCCTCAGGATTGCTACTACATCTCAGGTGCCAGTTGTCAGAAGGAGGGAAAGGAATTCTTGTATACCCCTTTCCCTACTGGGGTGGACACCAGTTGGAATTCCTACAGCTGAAAGATGCTTTAACCCAGGATTATGTGATTACTCTTTGGCCAGAGTGCCCTGGGAGCCAGCCTCGGTCCTCACATGGCTCCCGCCCCAGGGCAGCACAGAGCTATCATGGCCGGGAAGGGGTGCTCACTGTGGGCGAGAGGCTGCTGTTTACAAATGGACTTTTGGGTGTGACAGGCTGGGACCCATGAAAGGGATTCCAGGAAACAGCTGGGAAGGGAGCTGAGGGGACCAGTTGATGTTCAGTGATTCTGTTACTCAAGTGCACCTCCCCAAGCCTGCCTCTCGCAGCTGCCCATCCCTCTCTCTGGCTCCTGCTGCTCTCCCTGGAGGATTCTGGAAGGGACAGCTGGGAAGTGAGGGGCTCCTTGGACCAGAAGGCCTTGGCTGAGGGCCAGGGCACCAGGGCTGGAGACCAGGCTCGTTGCCACCTTTGTGGCCGCTGTTCCCAGGCTGGACTCTGAGTTTAAGGAGGGCCTTTGTCTGTGCTGAAGAGGGCTGGCAACTAACTGCAGCCTCTGTCCTTTCTTCTACTAATTTAAAGTCCAGAATGGCC